TGGTAGTGGTAGTGGTAGTGGTAAGCGCCGTGAGCGGTTCAAAGTAGCTTGAGGGGTTCATGGAGGTCCAGTCACTTGTCCTTTCGAATTGCTGCGCTTTCTTCACTGCCTTGTGACTAATCGGCTGTGGAATCAGAAACCTGGCAATCGACACGCTACACCAGTAACGGGACGGCCCATTAGATCCGCTGACTTGCAAGCCTTGATTGCAGCCTTCGATCTGTTCTTCAGCCAAGAAAGAGCAGAGATTGTGCGGGAGGCTCTGCTCTCAGATACACCACTTGGGTGACGGCTTCAAGGGCCACGACGTGACATGGGCTTTCATGTGTTTCTTGGACTATCTACCTCTCCCCTACTAGCTCGTTCTGCATACATTGAGCAACAGACATTTCTTCCGCAAAGTACATGGGGGACTCCAACCGGCTTGGAGAAAGAACAAAGCAGGGCCGCAAGCTCTACCCGGTCCCAAATCCGGGGATGGAAAGACAAACAAGGACTACGAGGTGGTCAAACAGCTGCCATCGGCGCGAGGGTTGGCGTTGCGGCCTCACGCACGCCTGAAGCTGGCTCTTCGGAGTCTGCAAAGTATGAGGACAGGAAGCCCAACAGAATACGCAGTTCTGCTGACAGGATTAAGAAGCGAGCATACATGCGTGCGCTACGCCGCGCGGCTAGGGATGGACACGCGAAGTATAAAGGCCAAATCCTCTATGTACGCAAAGACTTTGTGCCGATCATGAGCGCAACGATCACTCCTGCCCCCAAACCCAAGGGTCCCAGATTGGAAGTTTTTTCGTGGAATTGTTCGGGGTTGAGTGAGGAGTTGTACCAAGAACTCCTATGCTGGATGAAAACCCAGCCTTGTCTGTCCATCGTGATGCTGCAAGAGACGCACTGGGGCTTCACAAACGAGTGGAGACGCAACGGGTGGTACTTTGTGCACAGCGCGTGCACGAAACCACGCAGTGGTGGTTTGCTTGTTGCTATCAGGGAGTCATGGTAAGCTGATCAGATGGAAAGACCCGGTTCCAGGACGGTTAATGATGGTCAGGTGTGTTATCGAAGATCAACAGGTGGATATCGTCAATCTTTATCAACACGCCTGGAGCGTCAGAACTGCTGAACAAAACCAGGTTCTCGTGCAGCAGCGCGCTTCCTTCTGGTCAGAGTTGGATAAACTGCTGAGCTCACTACCGTGGAGGTCCACGGTGGTGCTAGCTGGGGATTTCCATGCCGTCCTGAGGCGGGAGCGGGGTGTGACGGGTTTTGGCATCCATGCAGGCGGGCAGCAACCGGAGATGGTAAGAGACAGGGAAAAGCTGATGCGTGTTCTGGCGCAGCACAAAATGTGTGGCCTAAACACTTGGTCGGAGAAGGCCTACACGTATGAGCATCCACAGGGGAAATCCCAAATCGATTACATTCTGGTTCGACGGTTCTCTGCGGATGGACTAGCTCGACAGAGCAAACCAGAGGCGACCATTATGGCTGGTTGGCGATCGGCAGGGCATTGGCCACTGAGGGCGAACATCAAGCTGCGTTGGAGACCGTGGCAGGCGGGGATGGGAGAAATGCAGCAGCGTGCGGAACGCCGGATGTTCCCCGCTAGCTCCCTGAAGGATGCTTGAACTCTTTCAGAAATCCAGGTTTGCTTGAAGGCTGACTCTCCCCCCCCCCCTCCTAAATGCGTTCCGCAACCTCACATTGATGTTAGTGTGCCGGTGGAGACGTACTGGCGACTCCGGAGAAGACTTCTCCACACCGCTGGTGTGCACATGCTTAGGGCCTGCTTCAGGGTTCTTCAGAGATATAAAGCCATGCAGATCGCGCATCGCAGACTCAAGCGCGAAATTCGACATGCCAAGCGACAACGCATACTTAAAGTGTTGGAAGAGGCGGAGCTTGCAGCGCAACGTGGGGACTCCAGAAGTCTTTATCAGTATGTTAGGCAGCTTGCGCCAAGGGAATTTGCAGGCAGACTGAGGCTTCGTGATTCACAAGGCAATGTGATGACACCGGCTCAAGAATGCCAGCAGCTCGCGGGATATGCCAAGACGCTCTTTACTGGCGAGTCCTTTGTTGCACCTCCTTTATTGCCACTGCCTGAGTCAATGTTCCATGAAGTGGAGTGGGTTGAGGCTTTCCGGATGCTTAAAAACCATAAAGCTGTTCCGGCTGATTCTGCTTCGGTATGTAGCTGGAAGGAGCATGCACATGTTGTGAGCTCCGAACTGCAGGCCATCGCTAAGCAGGCGCTAACCGGAGACAACCCCAAAGTACCAGATGAATGGCATCAGGTGCAGCTGGCATGGCTTCCCAAGCCTGAGGCAGGCAACCTTCGCACGGTGGGTCTGATGACTCCGGACTGCAAGGCTTTCCTCATGATTGTCAAAAAGCATGCCAATTCCTATGTTCAGGCAAAGATGTGTGAGTATCCGCAGTACGCGTACAGACAAGGAGCTTCTACGTCGGATCCCATACTAAGGGCGAGCCTCCACTGTAATCGAGTTCGGCAGGATCTGGCATCTTGCGCTACAGATCTCACCTCCAAGATTCTTTACCAGGCGCAGCCGGAGCTTTGTGACGGAGTCATGGCTAGCTTGGATTTGCGTAAAGCCTTTGATGCGCTACCGTTCTCCGAAATGCACCTTGCCTTGCTGTTAACGAACATGCCCAACGAAATCGCTGCCCTCATCATGGATGTACATGTACGCACCATGCTGCACATTCGACATGGAGGTGAATGTGGAAACACGAGGATGACGCGGGGCCTCAGGCAGGGTTGTCCCATTGCACCCATGATTTATGCTGCATGGACGTGCCGGCTTTGCAGACTTATCAACAAAGCACTGGGAAAACACTGGACATCTGAGCATTTGAGCATGTACGCAGACGATAAGAGTGGGTTCTGGCGGGTGCATTCGGTGGCTTCCTTTCGCAAAGCATTGTATCAACTGCAGGTAGTGACACAAGCACTTCGGGATGCGAAAATGGAGGTGAATGTTGGTAAATCCGCTGTGGTAGTAGCACTTAAAGGCACCCAGGCGGCCAAAGTTCTGCGAGCGCATACTCGTATGTGGAATGGAGAGCAATGCCTGGTACTACATCGGTCCGACAAGAGCACCTACATACCGCTCAAGGAGAAGCTTCCCTACCTGGGCGTCGTGCTATCTTACAAGCAATTTGAGCTTCAAACTGCGCAGGCCAGATGCGAGCGGGCGGAGAAGCTCTTTGGATCTCTCAGGCGGGTTCTGAGGACGAGAAGTCTCCTTAGTGTTGTGCAGAGGCTTCGCATTTACAAGGCATGCATTAGTCCTGCTATGCAGTATGGTATCCTGGCTGTGGGGGTGAATCAGGCGGTTTTAAAACTGTTGATCTCTACGCACGCGCAAAATCTTCGCAAGTTGCTATGTATTCATGAGCATGGCGTGACGAACTTGCAAGTACTACAGCGTGCTCGGCTTGACCTTTACTCGGAGCTGGACATGCAAGCTCATCGGCAATGCATGGCACTTTCTACTGACACAGGTCGTGATGTACATCTTCGTCGGCTTGAAGCATCTCGGGCACAGAGCAACATGCAGGACTTGCGTCAGTTGCGCTTTTACGAGTCACATGCTCTTCTTTCACAAGTTTTGCCTAGTCAAGTTGTGCCCAGGGAATGCCCGAAATGTGGTCAGGTTTTCGATGGACAACACAATCTACACATGCACATCAAACATAAGCACCCGGAGTTGAACAAATCCAGTCGTATTACCTTCAGTCGTCGGGATCATGCACTGTTTGGGCTTCCCTTCTGCCGCTTCTGTCGAGTACGGTGCTGCGACTGGAATGCGCTGGAGAAGCATGCTACCCAAGGGATGTGCATGCGATGAAAAGCCGGCTTCGCGCAGGATAAGACAATCGAGACCATCATCAAGGAGACCGAGGCTGAAGAGCAGGCCAATCCACCTCAGCCCCCCAGTGATGCCCTTGACACGCGTGCTCCATTAGATACGCAGAAGCACATCTTTCTGACATCGATCCATGAAACCCCGAAGATTGCCAAGGAGATCAGGGCTTTCAGGAGTAGATGTGTGTTATGTGGCCAGCGTGTGCAACAGAGTTCGCGCATCAAGACACATTGGCAAAGCCTACATCCGCAGGCATGGCGAGTCGCGTGGAGGGCGGCGCAATCGGAGGCGAAGAGCATGTGTGCGACGTTCACCTCTCCATGTGCATACTGTGATGTCGTGCTGAAGCAGCCACAACGCCATGCCGAGAAATGCTCTGCGTACTTCCAGGTTGCGGCTGTGCGTCACCTACTACGGCATGCTGAAGAGAAGGACATAGAGACTGTACTTAAGCCGACAGCGCTCAAACAATCAGAAACAGTCCCGAAGTACACCAACTTCAGCATTGCAGGAACGCCGCTGGGCAAGTTCCTCGTTCGGACGAAGGCAGAGGAGCGATCAGCATCAAACCCAGATGTACCGAAGTCGACAATGGCGCAGGCGTCGGAGACCAGATGGATTTCCACTCCGAAAGGACTCAAGGCGGCTGACTCCTCGGACGCTGCCACAGGGCTACCCAGATCAACAGGGGGTGGTAGCTGCAAGACGTATGTGCCGGACATGTTCAGGTTGAGCACGCGGGCTTCAGAGATGCCAGGAAGACCAGAAACGTATGCACTCCAGATGGCTATCGTGGATTCCATAACATGGCCGTGCCATCTGAAGCTTCACAACCCTCACAGTTTGTTGTGCTACATTAACTCCGGCATGGTGGCACTCTTCCATACCTATGCGCTGCAGGCCAGCTATCATTCCTCGGTACGTCGTCTGGTTCAGGACTGCAGAGCTTCCGTGACACAGGAGAGTCAATTTAAGCTGTACCAGAATGTGCATTTTCGTCGTCTGTGCGGCGCATGGAGCATGACTAACCAACAGCAGGATACAGCTGAGTTCATGCAACATGTCTTTGAGCAGGCGGGTATGGTGCACACTATTTGGGATTGCAGAACCCACAGGGATGATCGTCCCCACCATGTCGATCAGGGTGGCTTGCCGATTCCGATGCAGCTATCGAATGTGGAGGCCACGCTGCAACAGGTCATCAATGGTTGGTACCGCAGGGGAGAGTATAATGCCCTTGTTTATACGGATGGTGTTGTTGTTGTGCAGCTTGGCAGGTTTGTGCATGGCAGACAGAACATGTGTCCGATCTCCGTGGACGAGGTGCTCTGGCTCCCGATCTTTGCAGAGGGTATCAATGTTGTATGGGAGTCATTCCGGGTCACTGCCATTCAGGTGCACTTGGGGCACAATCCACATCAAGGTCATTATCGCAGCTTACTTCGAGTCGCGAGCTTATGGCTGTATCAGGATGATGGATGCCAGGCTCAGCCGGAGAGTCTCAATGCCATACACAAGCGCCATGGGTACTTGGTATGGCTGCTCAAGTCCAGTGCGTAGCAAAGCGTTCCCCCCGATCTTTGTCAGAATGGATGCGATGCAAGAGGCGGAGATGTTCTTCTTTGATCAATACATGCCGAATCCCACTAGGCCTGCGTCTGACGAAGCCTCTACGGGCGGTGAATCCGAGATCTCGAAGGATGCCAGAGGGGCAAAAGCAGCTCGAATGGCTGCCAACGGTGGTAAGGGAGACACAGGAGGACAGGGCAAAGGTCGCAATGGGGGCCGCAAGCGCGGAGCGCAACCCTGGGCGGACAGAGGCAATCCGGCGGGGGAAAATCGACAATGGGACAATCGGCCTTGGAGGCCCCGAGACAGGCCGGACGCTGACGTGCGTCAGGCCATACATGCTCTGCAGAAGTTGATTCTCAGACATGAAGACAGCATAAGTGCATTGAAGATGGATCATTCCTTTGTCGTCTTCTTTCGTGTGCAGTCGCCCAGCTCCATTGTGCCGCAGATGAGCCGCGCTCAGCAGGAATGGCGCAGGATCAAGGCTGCTGAGCCATCGAAGCTCAACCATCCCATGAGGTCCACGCTTCTTCTATGCATATTTCGTGAGCTTGCTTTGCGGCTGTCGAACATCAAAGATGAAGCCCATGAGAGTGCGCGTGAGCAGCTCAAGTTGATGAATTGGTTGGTTCCAACGGACAACACCGAGAACCCAACTTGGGCATATCTGCGATGGAACAGCGAGCGCAACCGCTTGGAGCCGGAGGTGGACAAAGCGGGGCTACCATATGTCCAAGCCTTGGCCACGGTGCAGGCGATCATCAAGCTCGTGGCCATGGAGGGCACGGTCACCACGTTCCATCCGAAAAGGCCTTTAACACCACAGATGGCGGGCGAATCCCTGGCATGTGAGCTACAGGTTGGCACCCGGAGCAAGGAGGCCCACACATTGCATGAGTATCTGACGCAACTTAGCCATTCGGCGGCGACGCAGCTCATCGGCGCCAGCATCAGGCCGGAACGCATGCAGAGATCAAATCTTGCGCAGATTGTCTCCAAGCAGCTGGGATGAACCACTCAAGATAGGCTCTTCTTGACTTGTGGTGGATGTCGCGAATGCGCACTGGGGAGTGGGATGAGCCCGCGGGCTCACGACGGGAGCATCGTCTTCAGAAGTAGGATGATGTCTACTTTGGGGACACAGGGGTATGTCTACACGATGCGGAAAAAGAGTGTTATCTTGATGCTTTATCTTCCATGCCACTCTATGTGACAACGAACGTGCATGTGGCTATGGATTTCCGTGTCCAATCCGCCATATCCTAAGGTGCAGCTGGACGGTCACCTGGTGATAGGCCTTAGGACTGATGAGTGAGGACGCTGAAAACCTGTCTGTGCGATGTACGGGTACTTTACTGGCTCTGCTGAGTTGAGCTATGCAGTCCGTGTTGTGGTCTGAGGGGGGCCTGTGTACATGAGCATGCGGTGCACATCAGGACAGTAGTAGCAGTGAACACGTGCCGTTGATGACATGTCTTCGGGGAGCTCTTACGCTCTACATGGCGCGCGCCCGGATGTGGGGAATGCAGTAGTAAACCGAGAAGCACATCTAGGTGATGAATGCTGTCGTTTACCTGGCCTACAAGCAAGCCACTTGGCCAGTCCGGCGGCGGATTGGCCAACTTTTCGGACAGGCTGCGTTCAGGCCTGCTGAGACTCCGGAGGGGATGGTTGAACTGCAGGCTCAAAATGCGTTGCAGGATGGTGTCATCTCCTGGTTCACATTGCAGGATATGTTTGACAAACTTCCACCGGACAACATGGACAGAGGCGATGCATCAAATTCAGGGGAAACCACTCTGGAGCCCAAATCCTTTACGGTGGGAGGCTTTGCTCATTCGTCGTTCATGGGTTTGCGGAAGTATACATTACGCTTTCCATGGTTCACTGCCTTGCTCACATCCATCATTAGGTACATCAGCCCTGGACATCGGTTCACGACGATCGCGTTGTCCAGAAACGTGATGACAATGATGCATACGGACAGCCATAACGAGGAGTGGTCTAGCAATCTCGTGGTGCCGTTTTCGGAGTTTCTTTCCGGGCAGCTGTGGTTAGAACATGTGGATGGAGACGTCAAGCTTTCGGCGCATGGGCCGACTGGCAGAATGTTCTCAACGCAGGCTCCTCTGTACTTTAATCCTCGACGGAAACATGCTACTGCCCCTTGGGAAGGACAAAGGTACATTATCCGGCTTGGTCATTCATTTGCAGGGGTGGGGCTGCCCAAGCTGTCTATGCGGGTGGACACTTCTTCTGTAGCGCTTACCTGGCGCCGGTCGAGGGAGCCCAGGAAGTCATGAAAGAGATTGGTGCCACGGTCTTTTCTCTTCCCTCTGGGGTTCGCTGGTGTTTAGGAGGTGACTTCAACCTTTTGCCTTCCCAGAATGAACTCCTTGAAGCGCTTTCTGGCCTTGGGGCTCAGCTCTCCACGCCTAAATGTCCGACCAGATGGACAGGTAAGAGGTGCATTGACTACTTCTTTGGTACTCTCCCTATGACTGAAGCTACTGTCCTTTCGTACAAGCTGTCTGATCATAAGGTCGTTTCTGTCGACATTGATACCAGCCTTCATAGGTGTGAACACTTCGTGCAGTCCCCTGCCCCAGTGCTGCCTGAGCCACCGCCGGAGCTAAGGGAGAAGTTCTTGGAAGCTGTTCAACAGGAATGGGCCAACTGCCCCAAGGCTTTCAAGGACATAGACGACCTCGACGAACGATGGCACACTCTAAGTGCGGCCTTGTTTCAGACTTTGGCTAAGGCACACACGCGAATTGGTACCTCGCAGGACCAGCTCCCGAGCCCGAGCTTGCTCAGAGCGGGCAAGTCTTGTGTGGTTAGGGTCATTCGCAAGGAACAATGCCATAGTCAATCAGCTGGAGAGGCTACTTCATTCCAACAGAGAACTCTGATGCGACACCTGGGTAGGATGCTCGAGTTTAGAAATAGGCGCTGTGCTAACGAAATCTCTGAGGGGTCTAGGAGGGATTTACAGTGCCTTGAGGCCAAGGTTCACAGGTCCCCTCACTACGATGCTTCCTTGAGCCTCACGGAAAACATCTTGCAAACTGCTCATGAGTTGCAAGAGTGTAGGACCCTTGAGAACAAGCGTAAGCTTGGTGCTTGGAGGACCAAGATGAAGAGTGATCAACATGCATACCGATGGCTTCGCAAACAAACGGTCACGTTGAATCATGCTATAAAGATTTCGGATCAGGACAGCATCGCTGAGTCCCCACAGCAGGCTTTGTGTAAGCTGAAAGATTACTGGAATCAAATCTGGCGCAGACCGCAGATCAACTTTGAGGCTGTCTGGCACCAGGTTGAGAGCAGGCACCCACACAACTCGCAGACTCTCTCGTTCGCGCCTCTTTCAAAGGAGGACTTGCGAAAGGCAGCGACTTCCTGTAGAGCCACTGCGGCGGGCCTGGACGGTTGGAGGCCAGAAGAAATCCTTTGCTTTAGTGATGAAATGTTCCTTGAACTGGTTGAATTCTACCATCGTTGTGAAGGGATTGGTCAGGTCCCTAGGGCGTGGAGGTCTCTGAGACAAATCCACCTCAGCAAAGGAAAGAAACCGGGTAAAGACGGTGCCTCGCTTGCTGCGGATCTTAGGCCGGTTTCCATCTCAAGTCTGTTGTGGAGACTCTACACAAAAGCCAGATTCCAACGACCGGAGACGCAGGCATGGATCAAACAGATTCTCCCTGAAAATGTCTACGGAGGTGTGCCGGGCAAAGGGATTCAGGATGCGGCTGGGCAACTCCTTAAGGCCGCGCACGAGGGATGCTTCATTGCCTCATTGGATTTGGAAAAGGCTTTCGATAGTACCAGCCCAAAGCTTGCGATTTGTATCATGAAGCGGCTAGGCTTGTGTGAAAGACTGGCGGCCTTGCTGCTCGACGTCTGGGAGGGACAAGCCAGGCACCTACAGCTCCTGGGCGACACGCTCCCAGGGGGAGTGTTGGTCAAGGACTCGCTACCACAAGGCGACTCCTGGTCCATGCTAGCCATGACAGCGGTCCTGCTTCCGGCAATACAGGACATCATGAATCGTTTCCCAAGCGTATGCCAGATCAACTTTGCGGATGATCGTACCTTCGCCAGTCAATCACCTGCTGAGCTTCGTCAGGTCATGGCTGCACGGGCCTCTTGGGCCCACACCTTAGGCCTGAAAGAGAACAGCGGAAAGGCGCAAATCTTCCATGCCACAGTGAGAGGGCGCAGAAGATTGGTCTCTGTGGGATTTGACCCTGATACGGTTCGTGGTTCGATTAGGGTCCTTGGTTACACTTTCTCTCCCGCGCAAGGAAGAAGGGTGGACAACCATGAAAAAGCACGCCTGCTTGAATCCAAGGTCAGAGCATCCCGATGCTCATGCCTACCAGGTACGATGAAGCGCAAGGTGACCATCGCTCAGCGCGCTGTAGTGCCTAAGGCCAGTTGGGGATGGCTCTTCCGCCGCCCATCCAAGGTTGATGTGAAGGAGCTGGAGGCGGTGTTCCGCAGGTTGCACAAGAAACAGAAACTGGCAAGTCCACATCTGTTCAGCGTTGTCAGAGGCCATCGCTGGGACCTTAGATTCATGGCAGTGAATGAGTTGGTCGCGGTGCTGCACAGAAGTATCATGCGAACGGGCCTCAGCCTTCAAAACTACAGATCGGCCAAGTCAGGGTGGACTGGAGCGCTTAGGAAAGGGCTGTTAGACTTGGGGTGGCAGGAGAGAGCCCCTTGGAAGTGGGAGCATGTCGAAATGGGAGTCTTTCTTGCTCTCAAAAGAAGTTTTGCAGAATGGCAGTCTTGTCTGCAAACGGTTCTGCATCACTTGAGAGAGTCATGGAGGCGCTCTTGCTACTTGAAGTGGCAAAATCAGCCTAGAATTGACAGTCGTCTGTGTGCGGGCATTCCTTTCTCAGAAGCAGGCTCCGGGAGCTTCGCTTTGCGAGCTTGACGTCGCACCAAATTGCTGTGTGTACGGGTGCTCAGGTGTCGCCGTCTAAATTCAACGTGTTAGTTTCTGACAAACAGCAGGGCTGCCCATGGTGTGGCTCTTGGGACGCTGATTGGCATCACGTCTCCTGGGGTTGCTCTCGAGCCCCAAGACCCCAGCAGTTGACTCTGGACTCGTGCTGTGACGTCCTCCAGTCTAGGTTGGGCTGGCCGTCCGGGGTTAGGGCACGGAAGGGCATCGATACTCAGATTCTTGAATGGTTGGCGCAGGCTCGCCAACGCTGTCTTGACTGCAGGTGGGCTTAGCAAAGCAGGGCACTTCGGATGCCTCTGCTCTGAATCGCCAGGCCCTGGGCCTGACAGTCTGAGGTCTCTGCAAACAGCTGGGTCGCATGTTGCGACACGTGCCAAGGGTGGCTGTTGCCACCCCTTGATGTGAGTAGTCAAATCAAACCTGCGCTACTAAGGTCCTTGAGCATTCGTGCTTCAGCTAAGGAGTGAGTCAGATGACTCTTCTGGCCATTTTGGCCCCATGGTGATTTTGTGGCGATGCTCCTCGCGTCGCTGCTCCTGGTTGTCTCCGTTCACTTTGATCGGTGTCTGCCAGAGTCTACAGTTCGCTCTCTCACAAAGGTACATTATCGTTGCTTTTCATATTCGCTGTGCATCCCGACTCAAACCCTCACAAATGCAGGATCTGCTGAGGCTGGGCTTCAAACCTTTGGAAACATGTGTGATAGATGCTACTGCTGAGCTTCGGATGAGACAAACACTTGGCGAACAAGACATGCAAGAGTACATCGAAGGCTTGGCATATATGGATCTGCATTTTCCTGATGATGATGATGATGATGAAGATGCTGCTGCGCTCGAGAGCGAAGTCATGACATCGACAGCCTCAGAGAGTGACTGAGATTGTGTGTTTCTGTAGGGTCCTTTCAAAGCAGTGCAAAAGCCGTGTGATACAGCATACCACAACGTTTATTGCACTGGATGTCTCGCGTGATTATGTCGTGCTGAACAGGATAATGACACGACTCTGTATGCTTGGCCCTTAAGGGGCGGTACAGTGTTCAAGATGTTGCTTGGGGCCCAGGCCCGAACATCTTACATCTTTTATTCTCTGCATTATGTTTGCCTGGTGTCCTTAGAGATGGCCGGACCGAAGGTCTGATTAGGGCTCCGCCGGACATGAATCACATGTGCGCGATTGGGAAGGAAGGAAGGAAGGAAGTGGTAGTGGTAGTGGTAGTAGCAGCAGTAGTAGTAGTAGTAGGAGGAGGAGGAGGAGGAGGAGTAGGAGTAGCAGTAGCTGTAGCTGTAGCTGTAGCTGTAGCTGTAGCTGTAGCTGTAGCTGTAGCTGTAGCTGTAGTAGTAGTAGTAGTAGTTGTTGTTGTTGTTGCTGTTGTTGTGGTAGCAGTAGCAGTAGCAGCAGTAGAAT